CAGAATTTACTTTTAACAATCACTAAATATAGGTTAAGCTAGAATCAAGCCATTCCTACCACTCCCAAGAGAAAAAGACAAGTTCCGTTTCTTGTGAGGTCAAGTTGGTTCGCATGTATTCACTTACTATCTGAATTCATCATAAGGGAAATACTATGTTCTGTCCCTTTCTCCACTCTCTCAACTGGATTTGATTTAATCTCATCCTTAGGATATTATGGAACATCTCTTAGTTGTTAAGATTTTGCAATATTAGCTGGTCAGTTCTTTCATATCTTTTGATGTTCTTTTTTATATGATTTTTTAAAAAAGCCTGCTGTTTCAAATGTTCAGATCTAAACCAATGCTTTGAATAATTTTTTCTTCCATTATTTCTTTTTGTTAAAAATGTTCTTTTTGTTGCAGACATGAGTAAATATGCAAGCTTATGAGTAAATATGCAAGCTTACTTATCTTCCCTAGACTTCACTTAATAGCTTTTACTCTAACCTTTGTCATCGCTGATAATCTTTTATACACGAAGTAAGGAAAGATATATACTTATGGGTTTTGCTTTCTGAGAACCATTTATTGATCAATCACTCACTCATGTTTTTCTGGCTCATGTTATTGTTTTATAGGATGATCCACAAAACTATAGGGCTCTTCTCATTAATTAGTATGTGAATGATATCTGACTTCAAGATACACCTCAATTTAAAAGAATCAATAGAATTTATTTATTCACATATTTCACATTTATGTCCTTCTGAGAAATTATTTTAAGATTTTAGTATTTCTTTAAAGATTTAATAAATGTATTTTATATGAATTAATATTTCAGTGCTTCCCTGAAATCTTTATAAAAATTGATAAATAAAAGGAAATATTTCAAAAGAATAATCATGATGACTTTTCCTCAATATTTCCTTATTATAACACTTTTTTTCCATTTTATATAGTTTTTATCTTGTTTACCTTTTGAGTTAGAATTTCACTGTGTAGCCTTGGATGAACTAAAGCTGGCTATGTAGACTAGGCTGACCTTGAACTTCATAGATACCCTTCTCTGTCTACCTCAAGATGGCTGGAATTCCAGGCATGTGTCACCACATCAAGCTCTGAATGAAAACATGGATAGTTTGATGAAGTATACTTTGAATATCTATTGAATTCTTTCTTACTAGTTCTCTGTTATCAACGAAAGAGGATTGTGTCAGGATGAAGTTGCTTCTAACAATATGGAAAGAGAGTTGATGTCATTTGTTCTAACAGTGCAACTTTTAAAAATTCAAGAAAACATAATTGATCTCAGATTTATACAGTATTTTGTAACCAAAAAATATATTAGAAAGTTGATACAGATACATGCATTTATATTGGTCTTCAAACACACCAAATAGGAACTTATTTTACATGAAACATTTTCCAGTAACTAATACATCCTAAAGATGCCACTAGTGTCACGGCAGTCACCTTCAAGTACTTTGCATTATTTCTGATATTTCCTAAATATGAAGCATCCTACTTTGGCAAACAAATCACAAAGTGTAGTGCCATTTGATTTTGTTTTTCATTTCTGTATGTATTTATTCAACAGGATCTTGGTGGTAGAAAATGTTTTCTAAACATTTACCAAATAGGGGAAGAGTGAATGAAATGCTACTTAAGTAGAGTGTGACACAGGTGGAATATTACTAATACTTGCTTCAGAAATCTTAAGTGTGGCTGATGCAGGAACAAATGTGTGCCTCTTATTCATAGCAAATCTTGGGAGATGAATATCCTGGATGACATGTGACTTATTCATTCTCACCAGTCAGAGATTTATAGACTAGGTATCTACTAACATACTTGAGTTCTAATTCTGTATGAGGCTCGTCTTTTGTCATGATTAGCTATGTTGTCAATCTATGTTAAATAACAATTTGAACCAAAATATGCAAGAAACATGGTGACAGAAGAACCAAGTATTACACATACTTCTAGTTGAGACATGAAGACATCCCCAACAGTTTGAGATACAAAATTTAGATATGCACAGGTATTTATACAGAAAGAAAGAGTCCCTTTCAGAACATGGGTTCTGTTCCTATGGGCTAACCTGGTTTTCAGTAAGTTCCTGTGGTCAACTATTAATTTCCAATGTCCTAGAGTGTGAGCATGCCTGGGGAAGTATTTTTTACTGAAGCATTATGTTTGCTTATTTGTTTGCTTTTTTTTTTCTGGCAACCTAGGGGGTGGCCTTCCCAGGGCTTCAGTTTGTGAGACAAGCAATCCAGCATCATTTTCCAAAGCAAAGCGCAGTTTACCAAAAAGTCACAGGGTGAAATGTAATCTACTATGACTGGTGTCCATGGAGGAAGAAGAGGTACGGACTCTGACGTCTACAAAGGAAACACAATGAGAAGGCAGAAGGAGAAAATGTCCTGCAGACTCAGAGGGCCTCAAAAGAAACCAACCACAATGTCACCTCAATTACTGACCTCTAATAAGCCTAATGGAGAGAAAACAGATTTCAACTGTCAGTCTTTGTAGTCTGCCATACGTGACCTTAAAAGTACTACAAAATTAATACACTATAAAAGTATGGAATCAAATAATGGACAGTAGCAACAGGAAAAATGTGGAAGAACAGGAAGCAAAACAAAAGATAAATGTAGGAACAGGGAAAGGTGTTTGAAGTGAAGTAGATAGAACCTATCTAGGAGACCAGAAGTGGTAGTTAAATAATAAATGCATATATGAAAATGCCAGTAACCCTAATTAACCCCAATAATTTCCACAACTAATGTCTCTAAAATAGAAATTTAAAATGAAGACCAATATACTCATAAACTTAAGGAATTAGTAAGACCATATGCTTAAAAGGCTTTGAATCATTCTGTTCTTTTCTGTATACTCAGCTTTAGAACAGATGACTCATAGTGGCATACATTGGGTGAGTAAGATCTGATCCATCTTTGTGGTAAAATATCATCAAAGATAATCGTCCATTAGTGGTTTCTTTTAATTCATCTCTTCTTTAGAGAACAAGGAAGTCAGCTTTAATTGACTGTCTATAAGTTTTTTTTTATTCCTATTACTATGACAAGATATATAGCACTAAGTAACTTGTAAAATAAGGAAGTGACTGGTTTATGATTATCTTGATAGGAGACACAACCAAGATGATGCCATTATCCCATGGAACAGTGCCAGCATCACACTGTGATAGAGAAACAAAGAAGGAACTGGTCATAGACAAAAGGATGCACATGTGACCATTGTTGAGAGCCAGGAAAGAAGTTGTTATTATTCATAGCAACCTGATCCTTAGGAAACATATCTTCTCTTATTGAGTTTGACACACTCTTGGGAGATAATGTTCATCTATTCCAAAAGGTGGAACTTTCATGGCCTACTTACCTAGTTACTAGTCCCTGATTAGTGCACTATGCTTCTAGCCTATGATTGTCTAGTAACAAACCATGGCACCAACCATAGCACTAATTTCCACACTATGACCTCATCATGTGAACTAAGTTAAGTTTAACACATAGCTGAGTGACTAAAAGACATTGAACAGACACCAGGCTCTGAAAAGTATGCCCATATATTTTCCTTGTAGAGACTAAAGTCACTTGTATTTTACTTAGCAGCATTCTGAGGGCCATAACAAATATATAAAAAGTGTGAGATGAAACAGTTCTTATGTTTCTTCATTCCCTACTAGGTGTAAGAGGGTAGAAATGAAATGAGCACTTTGTAACTGAAGTAATTTCAGAAGCTAGAGAAGGGGGCTTGCAACTAAAAAGGCTCAACAACATTGAAGCTGTGTGTCCAAGGGTCCTAAGTGAAGAACCACTGCCTTCTCTTTGCTCTGACACAGGAAAGAGATCTTCTATTACCATTGATCCATTCTTTCACACTCATATCTCTGGCTGCAGTAGCCACACGTTCTCCTCATGAACTCATGGTTGTTCATGAACCAAGCCAGATTGGCTCTCCTATTCTAAACCGACATCTAAAAGACACATTGTTCTGAATCATCTTAATAAAACAACATGGGAATAAAGTTTTATAAAGCAACAGAGGGAAAAAAGTCACAATTTCCCATGCTTTATGATTCAGCATAATTAATTTAATAACTGTGTCATATGAGAAAAGTAAAGAAAGGAGACGGAAGGGTTGTGGATACATATGGTCACTGAAGCATGTACAATTGCAAGGAAATACAAATTACCGGGGTAGTGCTGGAAAGAAAAGCATGGTGGGAAATAGCTTTTGAATGCTAATTTGATTCTTCTATTGAGCCTTAAAGTGGCAGTGTCTAGGAGTGCACTGTTTATCTTCCCTTGCTTTTATTTTTAGCAGTTATATAACCTGGTGTCTCTGAAAACCAATTAAACACCTTCCTGAATCTACTGGGGATTTTCCTTAAGTGCTTTTCTACCCTGGCTCCAGCAGGATGATCATTTCATTGACAACATCTTGCTGGAGAGCAGTTTCTCATCGCAGGTGTTTTAAAAAAAAAAGAGTTGGAAATTAATAAGTGTGGGCAGAATCATAATAAAATGCAGCTCTCTCTGGACACAGCTGCAGCCTCTGGGGTTTGCTTCACATTAAACACCAACACTCTGTCTAAGATGAACAGTTTGCGTCTCTTACTGAAGTCTATACAGTTGCAAGAAAGGATTTTCTCTGAGGAAAGGATTGTTTCTGAGTGCTACTGCACAACAGTGAATCTCAAACCATAAACATGGGCTTCAGAGAATAAAAAATTAACTCCATTAAATTGGAAGGTATGAAGTAAATCTTCTTGACGTGTTAGGCAAAATATAACCACCTTTAACTTATTTCTATTGTTTCTTTCTCAAATAAGAACAAGATAACAGCCTTGTTCCTTTCAAATCAATTTCTCCATGAAAACAGTAGCCCTGTACACACCCAGAAACTCTGTTGTTGAGGCAGACTACAACCTTCCACCTCGTGTCCACAGTGAGAGTCTACACGTTAAATTATTTGTTGTAGGGGCTTACCGACAGTGCTTATGGGATCCTGTCAGGGTCTCAATCACAAAGCATTCACCATCATTGAGACAATACGCCAGGTCCTTGTCTCGACAGGGTTTGAAGTGCTCAGATCGTTCAGTGGAGTATGTTGTAGTATCTAAAGAGGAAAGAAAAGAGGGAGATGCTGTTGACATATATTTTAACGTATACCATTTCTATCATTAACTTAACTGTGAGTCCAGGATTATACACAGAAAATAACCATGGGGATTGAAGACATTGGACCAAATCTGAGTAAAATGGACTTATACAGCTGAATTAAGTTGTTTTATAGACAACCCTCCATTTAGACAGGTTCTGTATCCTGGGATTCAACTAACTATAGATGAAACATATTTAGGAAAAATAATTTGCCACTCGGCATAAAGAAGATCATCTCTACTGCCTCACCTTATAGAGGGAGAATGGAAGATAATGAGCTCTAGGGAAACCCATGCTACATACAGAATTCAAAGGCAGCCTGAGCAGTATAGCATTGTCCTTTCTTGAAAAATAGGGAAAACAAAACCAAACAACAACAACAAAACAAACAAACCCAAACCAAAGGATGAAATAGCTAAAGCACTCTTAGTTTTGCAAGTTCCTCTATTCAAACCTCAGCACTAGAAACAAAATTAAGTTGTATCTGTTCATAATTTTCTCCTCACCACTAGTCCCTAAACAAGAGACACTGACATCTATTTAAACAACATTTGTTGTTACACTTTGCATCAAAAGTGATGGGCATGAATTAAATAGGAAGGAGTATATAGGAGATGTAACTAGCGTGTCATTATAAGGCTTGAATATGCAGGCAGAATTCAATACATGTCTTGGGACCAATCTCCTAATGATACTTTCTCACTGCATCTTAACAATGGAGGCATTCTAGGGAGACCCCTTGTGCACATATAACAAGAGCTGAATGGTTCTAAGTGAAATGCTGTGCAACTACATTTGGTTTATTTTGGTTTTAACCAATATGCTGTATGGAGGATTGAAACATGACACTCATGTCCATTATCACCACCAAATACTGTTAAACATTTGATCAGTGTATATCCTGACAGATATGTGGAGATGCATGTCAGTATGTGCCTGCTTTGCTTATAGTTTTAATGTCCTAATAGCTGTTATTCTTTCACATTCTTATTTTATTTTATACTTAAACTTTCAATGCTCCAATTTCTGAATAATAGTCTCATGTGAAGAATAACCATGGAAAATACTTAGTTGTATTTATAAATATGATTTCAACATTCCTTTAAATATGTACTTTTAAATCATAGTTACTTATATTTTTCATTAAGGTATATTATGTACATACCTGCATCCCAAGTATTAAACAAGCCAGGAATATATCCTTAGTACAAGATTATTCCACTACCTAATCTAGACACTTTTCCTGGTTGCAGAGCTTTAAGCAACTGAAACACTAATAATAATTCTACCACAATTGTCAAGACAAATAAATGTTTTTAAAAGTAAAAGATGAATAAGTTATTCAGGGTTTATTATTGTTAAATTTCCTTCTCATGGATATAGGTAACTCACAATATTTTGAAATACAGCTTTTACTCCCAAGACCACCCATTCCTTAATTCTATGACTTCCTGGTGGTCTAATTAGATGAGGCTTAACCAGAATTGGTACTCAGTAAATATGGCCTTCCTAACATCACAAATCAATCAAGTGTTATAAATGAAAGAAAAGATCACTAATGACCCCATTACAATAATACAAATAGTTAATATCACTAAGAACAATAAGACATAGATATGATATCACAAGGTGGAATAGTTTTGTAACATTTGAGTTCTGGCGGATATTTCAAGATGACTTCAGAGTCTTCATTTATAAGTTATGCAAGACAATAAAATAACAGGGGTTTTGATGTCCTGTCCCCTTTGGTTACAATGGCAACTCTTTCCTGTTTTAAAATACCTTTCTAATAAGACTTCTCAGAAGATAAAAGCTCTGCAAAACAAATACTTTATATTTTATAAATCTTCCTTCCAGCAAAGATCTGTTATTCAGGGCGGTATGAGCTACATAGCCACACAGAATTCACTTTGCTTTCTATGGGAAATAATTGACAATCAGGAGCTCCAAGCAGATGGTTTTTCCAACTACTGAAGTATGTTCTTAATTCATGATTGGCTACTTAACTTCTCCTTTAATTTCCTATTATCTATTGATTGATGTTCACTGATCACTTCTTTAAGAGCAGCTTTTCATTAATATAACCTACAGCAGAAAAAGTAAGATCCTTATTTTTATAATCAGTGGTTTTAACAAGCTACATATTCAGAGTGCAATACAATGGCAAAGCAATTACAATCAATTAATTTCCATCTGACAATTGCTGTCTCCTGGGGTGCCCATCCAATTCAACCTACTACAGTTGCTGTCACAGTGGGAATCATCTGTCAGCATGTTACAGAGGATCAGAGACCCCAGGCAGCAGCTCTGAAAAAGACCTTTGTATGATAAGTGGGGAATGCTGCCTTAGCATGTACTGGAAGCATCTATACCCACAGCTCAGAAAATCACAGAATTAATTTAAAATACTTTTAACTAGATTCTAAATGAATATAATGATTATTTTGTAAAGCTCTATGCGAGGAAGCATGACAGCGTGATGGAATTGATATATCTATGACTAAATCAACTGAAATTATTAGTGAATTTAAAATGTGAGCATTTACCAAGGCATTTTTTCCAGTGTAATATTCACATCGTACTACTCATTGCAAAACAAAGGACATGGGATAAGGTTAAAAGACATGCTGTGTGAAATAAATGTTTTCTCTTAAAATAATCATACCAAATATAGATTGATAGGTGACAAGATCAGACTGCTACATAACCTTGAAAACAACCTACCTAAGCTATTATTAAATAAGTAACGTGCAGAATGCTAAAATAACCATGAGTTAGGCTTTCTATAATTTATAATCAAATATAGACTAACATAAAATAGTAGGGATAGTGGATAACACCAATAATTATCATAAAATCATTATAAACTTCATTATATAAAACAGAAAATAAAAATCAACTATCAGATACAATTCATTATATTGTCTCTGTGCCATAAAATAGTATTCTAGATGAGATCTAACTTCAGTCCTTTAAAGTAAAGTCCTTGACATTTATCTATGAGTATAACACAATATCATGTAGGAATCATTGTAAAGACTTTTTTTCTCAGTCAGGCTTGCTTCGACCTTAGGTCTCTGAGTCATCCAGCTTCTGGATCCTTGGCATTCCTTCTCTAGCAGCTGATGGGAGCAGATATAGAGACTCACAGTCAAACATTCGCTGACTGAAACTGCAGAGGACAGACTGTAGGAGTCAAAGGGGCCAATGAAACCATAAGAACATGGTCCATAAAATCAAATAAGCAGGGCTCATAGAGGTTCACAGAAGCTGATGCATCAACCATTGAGCCGGAATGTGTCTGTGCAAATTCCTCTGTATACATGCTGTGCTTGTTTAGCTTGGATTAGACTACTAACAGTGAGAGTGGAGATATTTCTGACTTTTTTGCCTGCTCATGAGACACTCTTTGTCCTACTGGTTTGCCTAGTCCAAACTTAATATTAGCATTTATGCCTACTCTTATTGGCTTGTTATGCTTTGTTCAGTTGATAATCACTGGGAGGCCTTCGCTTTTCTTAAGGTAAAGAGGAGGAGAAGATCTGAGAGAGAGGGAAATTTTAGGGGATGCTGAAAGGAGGGGAAGGGGGTTTCAGTCAAGATGAATGTGAGATAGCAGAAGAAGAAGGAGGAGGAGGAGGAAGAGGAGGAGGAGGAAGAGGAGGAGGAGGAGAAGGAGGAGGAGGGGAGGGGAAGGAGGAGAAGGAGGAGGAGGAGGAGGGGGAGGAGGGGGAGGAGGGGGAGGAGGGGGAGGAGGAGAGAGACAGGGAAGAAGAGGAGAAGTCACTATGTGGGGATTAAGAAGATAAAAGAAGGCAAAAATGTTAAAAGTTAAATTCTTGGGTTAGATCAGTGACCATTCTTACCTATAACTTAGCCAGAATGCTTTTGGGACATATTTATAGGTTTTAAAACTGCAGTATGATTAAGAAAATTCAATAAACTAAGCTGACTATAAAGTGTGTGATATAATTTGGCATATACTTAATCAACTTTATTATCAGATACATATTATTTGTTATTTTTAACAAAAAATTGATGTTGTATTTATTTACAGATTTTTATTCTATGGCTGAAAGTGTTGGTAAATGAATACTTCCATGAATTCCCATTTTCCCTTAAAGGCTCTTTTGCAGGATCATGCTCAATGGAGACTTATTTTTAGATTTCCTTACGTCCCTTCCCATCTCCTCATGAATATTACATATGACAATACTGAGAGCCCCTAAGAATAGTAGGTTTACACATCTCTGACCCATGATATTTCATTGATGGTTCAACAAGAAGATGAAGACAGTAGATATTTGTAGATTGAAGCATATGTTTAGGCCTGAGCATTTTTTTATGTTTATGCTGAAAAGTGAGAATACATTCTTTTGTCATCTTAAGACACACTCAAGGGCTGGATAGATGGCTCTGTGGTTAAAAGTACTTGCTACTCCTACAGAAAACCTGCATTTGGTTCCCAAAACACACATGGGGTTTAATAACTATATACAACTTCAGTACTAGGGTATCCAATATCATTTTCTGTCCTTCCCCAGCCACAGTCACAGGTAGCACTCATAGATACATGCAAACACACACACAGGCACACACACAAACATACACACATACACACACAACCCTAAAATAAAATAAACAAATAAAAAAACAAACTCTCATAAAAACACCTGGACAACAAAATATTCAGAAGTTCAGTCTTAAGAAGCACCTTAAAAACAACTCAGGAATCAGGTATGCTGGTACAAACCAGTTGTCCCAAACTACAGCTCTGTTGTGGCTAAGATGGGATGGAAGACTGAAAATTCTAGGCCAGCATGGGCAACATAAGGAAACTCACTTTTAACCACAATAACAAGAGCAAAAATTATAAGAACAATTAAAAAATCTACCTAAAGCACAATGAATTTCAAAAAGGAAAGAAAAGTTAATTCCTAGAGGAGGGAAGACAAA